GGGGGGGGATTCACTCTCCCCCGGGAAGTCACAGCAGAGGTACATTCCAGCCATACACAGCCAGTATAAGTACCCAAATCTGTCCTCGTGTCAGCCACAGAAGGGGCCAATCATCATCATTCTGACAGGAGGAGAGAGCAGAGTGGTTTCCATGTTCTGCCCAGTTTTGGAAGGGGTGGGGGGAAGGGTTAGGGGCCCCATTAGAGAGGGCCCCCCAATCTCTCTGTGAACATCTCACCAGGTTCGGAGGAGCAGTTGGCAGTAGAATGCGGCGTGTGCACAGGCGTGCGCCGTCAGATCCCATCTTCGGGTCCTCAGCTTCAGTAATCTCCGGTGCTGCACCGAGACTCCGGCCTCAAACGCCAACCCGCCGAGCCCGCCAATCATCTCCATGGAGACGGCACTCAGCTCCCTGTAAGGAGGGGGATGGGTTAGGAGCAGATCCTGACTACACACGGGGTGCTTTACACACCAGACATGTGATCTCCGTGTCATCTCTATGTGATCTCCATGTAGTATCCGTGTAATCTCCATGTAGTATCCGTGTAATCTCCATGTAGTATCCGTGTAATCTCCATGTAGTATCCGTGTAATCTCCATGTAGTATCCGTGTAATCTCTGTGTGATCTCCATGTAATCTCTATGCAGTATCCGTGTAATCTCCATGTAGTATCCGTGTAATCTCCATGTAGTATCCGTGTAATCTCTATGTAGTATCCGTGTAATCTCCATGCAGTACCCGTGTAATCTCCATGTAGTATCCGTGTGATCCCCATGTAATATCCTCTTCCCCTATTACTGGGGCCCCGCTAGGCCTTTCCCAGGGTTAGGATACTCTAGTGTTGGGGCCCCGAGATCTCCCTCTGAAACACGTTTCCCGGGACTTGTACTCACTGTGGCTCTGCTGGGATTTGTAGTTCCTGAAGTTTGCCGTTAATCACGCGGCTTCCATAGCAACGGCGGCAACGTCTCCCTGACAACGCACTGAACATACGTCCCCGGGAGGAGGAGCTACTTCCTACAGCCAATCCACGACAAGCAGTGACCACGTGACCTTCTCCGCTGTGATTCCGATTGCAGAACTCGCTGTCACGTGTTCTGTACCCGTCCCCACCGTTACGCGCAGACCCCTCGGATCCCAGCTCCCTCCCTGATCTTCGTAGTCTGACCAACCTCCAATGTCCTCAATGACGGGGAGGCGGGTGGGACCGCACGCTGCCGAATATGTATCTCCATCACCTGCCCGACAAGGCTCCACCCCAAACCATCTGCATCACCTGCCTAGCCAGGCTCCGCCCCCATCTACATCACCTGCCCGATCAGGCTCTGCCCCATCTACATCACCTGCCCGACCAGGCTCCGCCCCAACCAGCCCCTCCCGACTGCATTACCTGCCCACCCAGGCTCCTCCCCATCTCTATCAATGGATTTCCCTATAGATGGAGAGAGATGGTACAGTCCCCCATAGATGGAGAGAGATGGTACAGTCCCCCATAGATGGAGAGAGATGGTACAGTCCCCCATAGATGGAGAGAGATGGTACAGTCCCCCATAGATGGAGAGAGATGGTACAGTCCTATAGTCCCTATAGATGGTACAGTCCCCCTATAGATGTGGAGAGAGATGGTACAGTCCCCCTATAGATGGGGAGAGAGATGGTACAGTCCCCCTATAGATGGGGAGAGAGATGGTACAGTCCCCCTATAGATGGTACAGTCCCCCTATAGATGGAGAGATGGTACAATCAGATTGGATTGTGTGTGTCACATGATCAGTAGCATTGAGGTCAGACGTGTGCGGTGCTCCGATCTTGGCAATGACCCGGCCGCGTCTGATTTTGGATGGTCTGTACCGAGTCCGGTGTGTGCGCGCGATATAACATGCATCTCCTCTGTACATACAGGACGATCCACTTCCAGTACGG